ATGACTGCTTTCCTCAGGGTCACATTGTACTTCAATTTGTCTATTTCATTTCATTTAGCAAACTGCTTTCATAGGGATAGAAACCAAGATTGACTGATTCCATTCTAAAGTCTCTACTATTGGGCCTAACACTGACCTCATAATTTATGTATCAAATATCAGTTACACAACTGGTTACATCAGCTTATCTTACAGAAACAATATGCCACAGTGTTAAAGGGACCCTGCTTGGTTTTGGATTCCAACTCTGTCATTTACTAATTAAATGTCCTCAGATTTAGTTGGTCTGTAAGCCTCAGTGTCCCTTTTTTTCCCAAATGGGGAAGCAACAACATTGTCCATATGGTGGCTATTTTTATGATTAAATGAGCTAGGACAAAATTCTTAAACAAGTGATGTGACACAAAGCAATTGCTATTATACTACTGCTACTACTACTAGAAACTTATATTCTAGGTGGCTAGTGTAATTAGTAAATTTGCTACTCGATTTCTTCAGCTACTGGAAAAATTGAGTAGTTCAGTGGAAAATCCTCTAGAAAGTTAACCAATTTCTATTCTGTTTGTAGACTTTGGTATATATTATCTTTTGCAGCTTTCATGAATACACTATAAACATTTCCATGATACATACTTTGCTTTTTATGGAGCTTTCTTATAGAGATCATAAACCAAAAAGCCCAGAGTGAACACTGAAGAGTTTAAACCTAGAAGTAGAAACCCCCAAAGAAAAATAGAACTTTCTTGAATTCTTCGTATTCGCTCCTCTGCATATAACACTGAATGCTGGGACTGGGAATTTTATCATAGATTACAGTCATACTTTTTCTTACATTTGCTATCTAGAGGGGCTCATTTTGTGCTAAAACTTATTCTGTTTTCCCTTCAGCATAACTGTAAGACTTTCCTAGGACTTACAAAGTGTGCTAATATATTGGTGCTTTAGACATCAATAGTTTCAGGTGGTCAAAAAAAGATATACACAGATTCAGTTGCAATTTCCATTCAGGTTAGTCCCTTTAAATAACAAGTCAAACAACTGACAGTTAAATAAAGGTTTTAATTTTAGTTGACAAACTGTATACTTCATGAAATATTTTTTGAAAAATTCCATCCTTTATCTTCAAGGTCTTGAGGAATGTTATATTAGATAAGGTGACTTTTCTGTATGAATGTCTTTATGAAAGACTAAGGTCAAAGGTTATGAAAATTTTAAACTGTACAATATAGAATCATGAATAACCTTGACACAATATAGACTTGCACAATTTTAAATTTTCATCAATTTTCTACTATTTTGGATTTCAAAAATACTGTTTTTCTGTTGCCACATGGAGGCACCACTTCAGCTGGTAAACAGAGATTTCTAAGTTTCATTGTTAGCAAGAGTCTTAAACTGTATGAGGTCTTCAGAAACATATTTCTATACTAAGTCCACCAATGTTTTTTGATGGCCTGAATAGCAGGTTGATTTGTGTACTGTCTCCTATGTTTTAGCCAGTATAGTGTTTTTATAACATCATTTTACTCCCTGAAGATTTAAATGGAATTTTATGGTGTTTTCTTGTGTGTGTGTAGACATGCATGTAGGTGTGAATGTGTGTGTATGTGTGTGGAGTCCAGAGGTTAACTTCTGGTATTGTTCTTCAGACATGCTTCACCTGTCAGTCTGTCAAGTAACCTAGGTTGGAAGATCAGAGAGGCCCTGGACTTTGCTTCCTTACCATTGTAATTACAGTAGGCTCCACAATATCTGCTAACATAGTCATGGGGATCCAACTCAGGTCTTCAGGCTTGTAAAACAGGCACTTCAATGATTGAGCTTGTCTCCCCAGCTCAATTTTTTTTGGAGAAGATTGAAAACCTCTTGACAGCATGAGAGCCTTGAGACCTCCAAGGCTACCTCCTCACACTCTCTGGTATACTCAACACATCAAGAAACTGAGCTGATGAAGTAAGTGGGCTAGAATAAAACAAGGTGGGGAGGGTTGAGTGGGAACTTAGATTTTTCTTCTGAGCACGCAGTGTTGGAACATGAAGATGTTAATCACTCTTGCAGGAGCTGAATATACAAGGGCACTAAAATTGTACTTGTACATACCCAACAGTGGGAAAGGGGAAATAAAGGCAGCTCAAGTTCAAAAAAATCAAACAGTAAAGACCTCTGAAGCCAGCACTCTTTGGAAGACAATTTCTTTTGATAATTCACTGGACCAATGTGCACATTTGTTCAAAATTAACTTCAGATTATACTCACTTTTACAAGTCCCTGGGTCGAATATGGACAATTTTTCAAATGATGCTTATTAGTTAAGGAGAATAATCATGAACTTCTTATGATAAATAAATGGCTCCTGCTAAGTGTGAGACACATTAGGAAGGCATCGCCCCTGTGCAAAGCACTGTGTGGTTATAGCATGTGAGAGCCAAGCCTTTCTCTAATCAAGGGGTTTAAACATTAAGTATCAGTAATCGATTCCTTGGATATTCCTCTTAGGTGCACAGCCTGAAACTTTGCCTCCTCCTATTGTTTTTGCTTTGTAGTAGAATGAACATTTTCTAGGGAAATAGTAAAAGAATGTATCCTGCCAATGCTTATTTCTCAGACTCTGTATACTTTTGGAAATTGCAAAAGAAAAAAATTACTATTACATTAACAAAAGAGGAAGAAATATTTATTTCCTCCATTTTTGATACTTAGTTTATTGAGTAAAACTACATTAAAGGGGAATCAATGGGCTAATAAGTCGTGCCCACTTTATGTTAATAAACCTGAATTTGCTTCACTTATGTCACAGAAACAATCCATTTGCTAATTTAATCAGCCAGGAGAAACTTTTGTAACTGGTAAGCAATTTTTTAATTGCAAAGTGTTTGAGAGTTACCTTGCAGTAGTAGTTTTTACAAGTTTCACATAGACATTGATGAGTTACATGAACAGTAAAAGCCTTCTTGGAGTCTTCATGACTAACATCACAATAGAGAGAGAGAAAAGCCTCAGAATTAGGCAGAGGTTCTTGGACTCCTGACGGTCATTTATAGAAGTTGCTGGTAATTTGTGTCCCTTAGGTCAGTCAGTAACCTGAATGACTGCATTAGATCACTGAAGTCCAGAGGAAAATGGCAACGTCTTTGAGGGTCAGGTTCTTAGGTGCTTTTTTTTTCTTTTATAATTTTAATTTTAAGCTTGCTTCACATGTCAATCCCAGTTTCCTCTCCCTCCCCTCATCCCGCAGCCCCCCCACCATCCCCCCTAGCTTCCCACCCTATCACCACTTCCTTCCACATAGGGGATATCCAGAGTCTGCCATTTCACTCAGGGCAGTGTCCAGGCACTTCCCTAAGAGTCCAGGCTGAAAGTAAACTGTATTTCTTAATTCTGGATAAACAATCTAACTCTAAGCCCTCAACTCCTGAAATGCACATAGCCAGAGTCACATGAAAACCCAAGAGCAAAGATGCTTTAAAACAGCAGAGAAAGTAACTGGAGCAGAATGTGGCATTTCCTTTGGTCTGTTACTGACGGCCCACATACAACATGCTTAAAAATACCCACCCTGGCACCTATTTTCATTTTTGATGATACAAGTGGACATTTAGAATACATGGCATTGAGTAAGTACTCCATCTAGGGATAAAGGAGAAAGCCCTTCCTCAAGCAAGGCTGTATGCTCTTCCTGCATGGCTCCCAGATTAAAGCTCATGTTGTATAGGTGGATTCTTCTTACTGACCAGGTTTTGAAATAATATTTGAAAATTTTCAGTATCTCAAAGCCAGTAACATTTCTTTTTTTCCTAAGGAAAATGACAGGCTTGACTTCTTAAAAGGAGCCTGGATTTAAAGAGACAAAAGAAACATGTAAAGAGGAATTTCTTTATTTTCTATTGGCTGAGCCACAGACTTTGCTAAAAATCAGACAAGACTAAGTCTTTGTCACCTTCGAGTCATCTGAGCATTGTTCCCGCTACAACTTTTTAGACATATTTTGAAGTTTGGAGAGCTCCACTATAATCCAGAGCTCCAACTCATGAGAGTCCAAAGCCACCCAGCAGGTTGTGAACTGGGCTTTGATGATGCTTGCTGTCAATAAACACTGGGATTTGTAACTGTCAGAATGAAGTTTAAACAACTGTCACCATAAAACAGGAGAGTTGCAAAAAGTAATTATGGCTAGGTGAAGTGACAAACTGACCAATCATGGGATGTATTTCTCCACTGTTCTAGTAGAATCCACAGTCCTCCCCCAGTTTTCCTTACACTCCTTTTTGGAGTGTTGTACTGTTGGCATTATGTTTTAATCCCTTTCCCAATCTAAAAATAAACCGTATCCCATGGGGACTCTGTATCCTTCCCTGGGTCTTTACTTACGGGGACTCTACTGCTTCATTGCTAGCCATTATTTCAGTACTGCACACCTGGTCACACTACTCCATTAAAATATATGCAGTCAGGCTTTGGAGAATTTATTTCAATTTACATACAATTCTCCAAATCCTCTGGCGAACTTGATGTGTGATCTGACACTTCCGCGTCTCCCCAGAAGGCTTTTCCTTTGCTCTTGATGCTAATAGCCCAAGGCTCCAGCCTTCCCTCTGGGGAGCCGCAGTGGGGCTAAGGAGTGGGAAGAGGGGTGACTGCCGGGCTTGTTGCCCCGAAGATTTACATTGTACTCTTGCAGGCAGCTCAGCAACCCCCTCTGTGGCTGTGGGTGTCTGGTGTGACAGAGCGGAGAAAAGCTCTCTAATCTCCCAGCGCCTGCCTCTGCTGCTCAACCTCTCCCCACCCTCCCTCCTTCCTTGCCTTCTGGCTCGCTCTCTCGCTCGCTCTCTCGTTTCTCGGGGAGTTTTAGTCCCTGAATGCAGCCGGAGTAGCCTTGACAATCTAGACCCGGAGCCCGTGTACACATACATACACTCACACGCGCGCGCACACATGCACACGCGTTGGCACACACACACTTCGGTTCTCCCCCCGGGGACACGACTCAGACCTTCATCTACCTGAAGTGGATGCCCCGGCGGGACACTTCTTTACTTGTCTTCTCCAGAGGGCAGAGGAACACCGGAACGCCGGAGGCTCGCTGTCCAGTCCGCAACCTCTCGCCTTTTACTGCCAGCACTGCTTAAAGTGTCCAGGGTGGAGAAGGCTTCTCCAGGACAGACGTTCCGCGGCCGTGGGACTTCCTCCGGCTGGCTCACTCCAATCTTTCCTTCGGTCCTCTCGTCCATCTTCTCCTCTCCCGCTGCGGGGTGGAAGGCTCCGGTGCCTTCCGGGCTGCTGCCGCCGCCGCTACTGTCTTTGCGAGCACATCCCACCCAGAAGACGGAACGCCGCCAGAGTACTGAGAGCTGGGCGAAACCCTAACTTGCCTGCCTGCTCTGTCGCTTTCCCCAGAGCTCTCTGTCCTCCCGGCTGAGTGCCGGTGCGAGAGCTGCCGCCACCAGCCTGGGAGAGTGCGGCGCCCGGGAGGACACTCAAACGGCAGGCGCACAGGGGCGGGGGTTGCGTGTGCCCGGGCGCCCGGTGCCAGCCCGACGAGTAGCGCGCACCCTGCGAGCGACAAGCTCCCCAAGTTGGGCGCGTCCCAGAGCTGGTTGCCCCGCGATCCGCAGCTGGTGACAGGAGAGAGGCGGGGCTGCTGGGGGTCGCTACGGTCGTCTCCAGCCACCAGAGCCTGTTTCCAGAGAACCTGGGCTGGCCTCCCTAGGGTCCCAGCCGGCGTTGCGCCCTCCGCTCGCGTGCGCTCTCCGATGACTGCGCTGGCGGTGGCCCGGGTGGCCCGCCCGCTGGGGGTGTCGGAGGGGGCGGGGGAAGAGGAGGAGGCAGTGTGATGGCCCTGGACGGCGAGAGGGGGGAGCAAGAGGAGGAGAAGAAAAAGAAGAAGAAGAAAAAGAAGAGGAAGAAGAAGGAGGAGGAGGGGGCCGAGAAGAGCAGCTCACCCTTTGCAGCCACTATGGGAGAAGACGACGCCGCGCTCCGGGCAAGCGGCAGGGGGCTCTCGGACCCGTGGGCTGACTCGGTGGGAGTGAGACCCCGCACCACCGAGCGCCACATCGCGGTACACAAGCGACTGGTGCTGGCCTTTGCCGTGTCCATCGTGGCACTACTGGCGGTCACCATGCTGGCAGTACTGCTCAGCCTGCGCTTCGACGAGTGTGGAGCCAGCGCGGCGGTGCCAGGCTCCGACGGTGGCCCCGGGGGCTTCCCCGAGCGAGGCGGCGGCAACAGCAGTCACCCAGGATCCGCCCGGCGCAACCACCACGCTGGTGGGGAACCCTCGCAACGGGAGACCGGCAGTGAGGTGGACACCCCGGGGACCCCGTCTGCCCTGCCGCCGTCGGAGGAAGAGCCAGAGCAGTGGCAGCCTTGGACGCAGCTGCGCCTATCGGGCCACCTCAAGCCCCTGCACTACAATTTGATGCTCACCGCCTTCATGGAGAACTTCACCTTCTCCGGGGAGGTCAATGTGGAGATCGCGTGCCGTAACGCCACCCGCTACGTGGTGCTGCACGCTTCCCGGGTGGCGGTGGAGAAGGTACAAGTGGCTGAGGACCGGGCGTTTGGGGCTGTCCCGGTAGCAGGCTTTTTCCTCTACCCACAAACCCAGGTCTTGGTGGTGGTGCTGAATAGAACCCTGGATGCGCAGAGGAATTACAACCTAAAGATTATCTACAATGCCCTGATAGAGAACGAGCTTCTCGGCTTCTTCCGCAGCTCCTACGTGCTCCACGGGGAGAGAAGGTATGGAGGGAGGCGGTGCCCCGTACTGCCCCACCCCGCCAGGTTGCTCGCACTGCTGAGCAAGCTTGACCTGGGGACCCATTGGCTTCCAATATTTAGAAACCCAGGGTTGAGGGAAGGAAGCCAAAGTGAGGTGGGATGGCCCGTGGAACCATAGGGGTCTCCCTGCTGTCTGGTGTCTTACTGTTGCCAAGTCCACAAACTTAGCAATACCAACAGATAAGGATTGCGGCCCCTTCCTCTAGTTTGGCCCTTGTTCCACTTGACCAGTAAATGTAGCCATCTGGGCTTTTGCCGTTTCTCCCTAAAGGTTGCTGTTCATGTAAATGACCAGGAAAAACAAAACAAAACAAACAAACACCAACCCCCACCACCACCACTAACAACAAAAAACAACTTTCAGCAAGTAACAGTCCAACCCAGTTATCAGGCCAGGGCAGATGTCCCCTCCCCTTAACATGCCCACCTCCCTTGACTATGAATAGTACTCCTGTCCCCAGGGCAACTTAGAATACAGCCTAGGTTTAGGCTTTGGAAAGTTTTTGCAAATTGCAAGTTGAGATTTTGGTCACAAAGTCAGGTTTGAGGGAAAGGCAGGGAGGCTGGGGCAGGGCAGAGGACTGGGACATGGAGGGTCCATTGTTGTTGTCAAATCAGAGATAGGAACTTCTTAAGGCACTGTGACATCTCCTCTCCCGAGGGCTCCATTCTTCGTTTGGTCCCTCAGATGCTGCCAATGGAAAAGACTACATCCTGAAGGGAGGGAAAGCTAGCAGTGAGTCTTGAATGCCTTTGCGGACTTTAGATTTGGGGTACATTCTCTTAGTTTTTATGAGGCAGGGGTTTCCTTTAGAACCAACAGCTCTGTGTCCAGATCTTCGTAGTTCTAATAGCTGTGGTGAACGTTTGAGGAATGTGTGGAAGTTAACAATGCTTCCCAGTGATTGACAGATGCTTCAAGTGTTGATTGCACCCTCCAGGTAACTAAGTTTCATCAGATCCCTATGGGGTTCTGCGCTCTGTGTGTTACAGGTGGGAAACCGAAGGCTCAGCAAAGTCATAGTTTGACTGAGATCACAAAGTGAGACCCAGATAATTTGGCCCCAGAGATCCTACTTTAAATTCTAACTTGGTGATAATAATAGTCCCACTCTCCATTATAGCCTCGATCAATATGGCCTTGAAAAGCACTTCACCCCAGGCCAGGCCTGCCAAAGAGTGCTTCAAGGTTCACATGAGTGTCCTATGGTAGCCAGCTTTCGCATATGCTGTTGAATGAATGCATGAGTGAATTTTGTTTTCATTGCATTTAAAATAACTTCAATTATTTAAGTGACTATTGGGCAGATGAACGATCAAAGTGAACTAACACATGAAATCACTGCCTATAGGTAGACTGAACTGATCATTGGAAAGTAATGCGGCAGAGCCTTCCTCAGTGAATCTCCTAATGTCAGGACACTGGGGCTCAGGGCAGCGCAGGGCACCTGAGGTCAAGAGACTGTCAGCAGAGAACCGGAACTTTTTGGTTTGCTGGGTCCTGGATCAGGGCTCAGGGTGTTTGGAAACTCTCAGAAACAGTTATTGTTTAGAGGTTGGGAAATTTTCCTTGTAGAATGGGAAGTGTACAAAAAGTTTTATCATTTATACACTGCTGTGAAGCAGCCCCAAATAAAGTACTTCGTGTGTTAGCAGTGGTGTGATAGGTATAACTTCCTACAAATCAACACACAAATTATTCACTTTCCAACACCCAGTGTTGGGTCTGGATAGTTTAAACCCGTCACCACCATTTCCTCTATCACAGATTTTAGATTAAAAATCACTTTTAAACCCACAATTATATAAAGTATGAAGTAAAGGCACAGGGGACAGATTTGCATGTTAGGTTTGAAACAGATTCATCATGTCAAAATGTCAACAGAGTTGCACATCCTCACCCATACTTCTTACTGTGGTGAAGAAAAATTGCTCCCTCTCAAATTCTGTGCTTTTTTCTTAAGCCATGCCAAGATGTATTTGGCAGAACTCAGCTTGTTTTGGTCAGTGCTTTCAAATTAAGAGGACTCCAAAAATGACCAGATGTTTCCGCTTGCCCTGTAACGGATTTCTTGTACCCACAGTCCATGTTTGTATTCAGACTTCCTCCTTCAGTTTTCCCTAGAGATGTACATGCTTTGACTGGAAGTTTAACCTGATACACACATGCTTTCCAATAGAAATGCAGGGTTCAATGTTTGGGTAGTCCCAGGATGGATTTATTTCTAAATACAATCTTATAGAAAGGTTTTATCTTCCACCCCCAACAACAAAATGAATATTATAATTTCTTGGCTTTTATGTCTAGAGTAGATAAAACAAAAATAATCTAACAATTTCATAAGTATACTAACATTCCATATATTAACTTTTGCTGTTCTTGTTACTATAGTTACTTAGAGGATTTAAAGCTGACCAATATTAGGAACTCAGCCAACGATCGCCTTTTATTGATAACAATGTTGTACTAAAAAATTCAATGTGAATTGGCATTTAAAAACCCTCTTTCTAAAAGGACACAGATGCAAACTCAGAATTTTCATTTGATTAATGATTAGATATCTTGATCTTTAGTTAATCATCATTTTTGCCAATTTAATTATAGGGTAATTTCTGTAATGGAAACAAATATTTAATCTGCCAGAAGTAGTTACACTGAATAACTTGAAATACTTAGAAGAGACACCCCGCAGCTCCCTTACTTTGTTTAGCCGGGCAGAAGCAGTAGCTCATGACTATCTGATCAGTAAGGTGGATGTCCCCTTTCTCAGAGACCCAGGAGAAGGAGTTTCCTTTTCATTTGTTTGCCTGAGAAAGAGTCTCAAGACAAAGGCAAGACTGACTTGCAGCTCCTGGTCCTCCCACTTTACACTCCTGAGTGATGAGTTTCTAGCTGTGCACCAACCTACCCGGCAGTATGAAGGAACTTTGGTAGGGAATATCAGCCTGTGTATAGTGCTGTGTACATTTGACCCCTCAAATTTTATCCTCTACTATGTTTTGGAGAGTGCTTGGGTCTGCTATAGAGAAGACTGTGTTTCCCACCCAGTAGAAAAGCTTTTCATCTAACCCAAGAGTCCTTAGTCATGGGCTTATCTTCCATTCTTACTTATTCAGTCGGCTAACTAGGAGAAAGCCTGTCACTTGTTGAATACTGGAAATAGCAAGTTACCCTAAAATTAAGGTGTTTGTACACATATAATTAATTATCACCTTTAGTCAGAACACATACGTACCCTTTTCCAAGTAGATGTGCAGCAGGCAGATAAAAGGGGTGTGTATTTATGGCATCGTCTCTTATGGGAGAATACACTTCTTAGAATTAGGTAGAATGCTCATTTACCTGAAGTAATTGCCGCTCTTGGGTAGCCAGATGGTGTGCACACCCATGTTCAAAGTAGGGTACCTTAATTTAGATCCAGATGGTCGGATTGAGGGCGGAAATTTACCCAAAGTAAATGAACATTTTATTCACTTTTGAAAAGGAGACTATTTTTCTTTGACAAACTTTGATTGGGTTCATAACATGCCAAAGTGACAGCAAATGAATAAAAATAGACATTCATTTTCTATAAAGGATTGCTTACAGAGATGCCATGATTTCTGAAAAAAATGAAAAAATAATTCTTGTGGCTCTCAAAGGGAATCGGGGGCCATTTTTTTGGCAAAATCTGTGGAATATGATGAATTTTCTTTCTTGGTGGCATATAGTCCTTTGTGATTTTATCATTGGATATTTAAAATTAATAACCAATTGTGATATTAGTAAATGTTAGAAAGCCTAGTTCATTGTTTTGATGTTGAAGAAGTCTCATTGCCCCAACTAACTTTCGTAAGTTTCATATGAGTAAATGGAGTATATATGACCCATTCTCCCTCTCTAGAAGGTTGTAAACTGAAAACTCCAGAGAATATTTATTATTTATTTATTTTCTGAGAACCCATAGATTTGGCTCAAAGTTTTTCTGTCAGACACACATAGCCATTTGGTTCAACTGAGTCTAGTACTGGATTTTGATCATAATTCAAAGTGCTTTCCATAAGGAAATAACAACAATAACAAAATTCCTCATCCTTAAATAATGATTCATTGTGATAGGAAATTTCATGACTGGTCCTCATCTTGTGGTATTTTATTTTCATTTATTTTTTTATATTACCATCACATTTGATCACTTTGGATAATGAGAGAGCACTCAGCTCCTTTGAGAAAGTTAAATGAGTTGGAGTGTGTTTTTATGTATCTAGTGCAACGTGGGACAGAGCCTATCTGCTATGAATGGTTTTTGAATGAAAATGAATCTGTTATCAACTTCCCAAGTATATGCTAGGTTTGTACAATGTATTGTTTCCCTAAAGCATATTTTTCCTATTGCTTATGTAAGTATTCTAGAGGCAATGGTACACAGGACGTTCTAGCTTTACTGAGGTTGGTCAATATGACTACAAGAACAGGGCTCAACACTTCAATGGTCTTGAGTTTCAAAGAATGATACAAAAACAGTAAGGAACAAATATTCACTTATAAAACATAAATACTCCATGGTCTGTAAGGAAGGCCATCCCACCTTGTTCCTATGTTCATGATTATCCTTATTGTTATCAAGATAACCATTACTCCATTCTTATTGCCACAATCACATTATCATTATTCTCTTAATTCCTTATATGTCCTTTAATATTTCCAGGTCTACAACAATGCCTGCTTTTATTTCATTCTATTTTTTGTTAGTTCTTCAAAGTTATCTGCCATCTTTCCATCTCTTAACAGTGGATGCTCTCTCTCTCTCTTTCTCTCTCTCTCTCTCTCTCTCTCTCTCTCTCTCTCTCTCTCTCTCTCTTTCACTGATAAGAGTTTTGAGAGGCATAAATTGGTCAAAATTCAACGGTGAAAATTTACTCCCTGTTCTTCTTACTTTTCCAGTCTTAGAAGATTCATGAACAGTCACAGATCAATCATA